TATGGCTGTGCGCTACGCATATGCCTACTACTCAATAAAGTCAAGACTATGCAACTCCTCTGGACACATTTAGCAAAGTGATGGAAAGCGCAGCACGGTTGTTCGACACTAGGCAGCCTGGTCAAGCCATCCCTCTCGATTACAATAGCCTACACCTTTGGACAGTACTTGGAATATGAGAGCCCTTAGACGAGGACAGATTAGCCCAGAAACCCTTTACATAGATCAGATATATGTACATCCAACTACTTCTGTGTCTCCTTAAAGGAGTTGGATGCATGTCGCGCTCTGGTTGAGGATAAAGGATACCTCATTTACTGTTGATCAATCCTTTTTTGGGATGCGGTACTTCCATTTGTAAATTCGTAGTGGCGTTTGAACGGGGGCCAGCCGATGTACAAGTCAGTGTTTTTATCCTCCCAGACAAGTCTGGTACCAATTAACCGACCCCGGAGGGATGGAAGGCTTGGTTGGCCCGGGCGACTCACGACCCAGGATTTGATCCCGGACCGCTCGCGTGGTAAGCGTGCCACTTGCCACTACACCACTTCCGCGTTCTGGTTAGTATTGAAAAAAGGAGGTTAGCGAGCACACAGCTTTCCACAATTCCTATTAAGGATGTAAAGTCTGTGTATAGATATGAAATAAATAGATCAATAACTAATTTAATAAATGCAATTTAGGTGGCTCACTTCGGTTGTCCTGCAACCGACCTTGTACGACTGTTCTCGGCAAGTCTCAGCGGTCAAGACAGGAGAGCACATTGGGAGGAGTTGCTGGAAGACTACTATGGATATGTGAAGGAGGAAATCGGCAGTAGAAAAATGGCTTATTCCCTCGAACAGGTATTCCTTTATAAGTCTTGCTTTACTACTCACATTTGCCAATGGAACGGGAAGATTGGTGTGCTACAAAATGGTTTTTTGAAGTCTGAAAGTTGAAAAAAATGGAAAATGATCTCTTTGTACAGTTCCAAAAACACTTTTCTTTCTTCAACTATAATGGATATTCGGTTACATGGATGGCACTATTTCTAATTGGCTGTTTGAAAATTTTCTTTGGAACACCCTTCTCCCTTCAGATTCTCCTTAATCCCTCTCTGCGTGG